GAAAAAATGACAATTTTTTGGTTCAATGGAATCATGGGATTTACTTGAATGAAGTGGAGATATGAAATGTGGAAGTTGAGGAAGAAACAAGTTGGCATTGGAAGATACTTGTTCAAGTGAAGGATAAGTTTAAAGTAGGGTTCATTGATGGAAAATTGAATGCACACCCAAATGGACAATATTCCATCAAGTCAGGTTATCAATGGCTACAAAGGACTGAAAAGAAATATAAAGGCTCCGAAGTAATATGGAATCATTTTAATTTACGTAAACATTCATTTATCACTTGGCCTTATTGGCATAGAAAACTCTTAACAAAGGATATGATGAGTAGAATGATAACCCATTACTTTGTGATAATAAAGATGAATCCGTGGACCATTTATTTTGCTTATGTAAGTTTTTTGTTGCTGTATGGACTAATGTGTGGAAATGGCTCAATATTCCATTCTTATTCTCATTAGAACACTGGGATAGACTGTAATCTATATGAAAATGGAGTAAAGCCAAGCAATACTTGTTTGTTGTAGTCATAGCTGCTGGTATGTACCATCATTGGCAAACTAGGAACCTACCATTATTTGAATGCATACTGAAAGAGGTAGATACCATATTGTCTAATATTAATAACGAGATGAGGTGGAGATTAACAGTGTGTTTCAAACATAAGCATACAAGTGATAGATGTATTCCAAATCAATGGAATAGATTAGTTCAAGTTAGGTTGAATCAGTAAAAAGAGTTTTAGGATTTTGATTTGGACCTTGGTTTGGTTGTCTAACGGTTCTCCATACAAGTTTTGACAGTTAATGTGAAGTGGTGATTGTCATAGGCAATGAAAGCATTGAAATCTTTCCCATAATACAAATGAGCATTAATTTTGAGTAAAGGTTACCTTTGAAAAACCTTCTATATAGTAACACTAAAGGTGGTCTTACCAGTCAACTCTTTGCCGGCCTTTAAAATTGTTCTTACCTTTTACACTTTTCAACATTTTCATTTCCTCTTGCATAACTGGAGGGAGTACATGGGTAGGACAAGGTTCGTGCATCAATGAGAAAAGACGACCAAAAAGTGTTCCTCACTGTACAAGATTTAGCATACTCGGCTGACTTATGAGCGACCGATTTTTCTAATTCACTAATCCATAAAAGATTAAGACTAGAAAATTATTGAAGGAGAAGCTTTATATCATAAATGATTGGAAAATGCTGAATGTGAGCCATCCAAGTCGCCAACAATCTTAAAATGACCAGACATGGCCTTTTTATTGGGAATATCCAATTGATTTCAATTTCTTTAATAAATTAGAAATAGTTTTCTTGTTTAATAATGCTAAGTTTCCTCCATCAGATTGGGTTCAACCTCCCTGGTCTTAGAATAGTCCAACCTGATAGAAGTTTTGAATTTTATGAGGGTGTATATATATATAACCAACAAATGGAAAGACTCTTGATTGTTGCTCCAAAATCAAAAGGTCATCTCAAATAGTAACATGTTATGAGAAATTGACCATAGATCAAAAGTCTCGGACTAGGTTTGAAAAGTGGTCCATTTAGAGTTTTAACTTTTAAGCCTATATTGGAAAACTTTTCTTTTGAAAACAAACAGTTTTACTAACAAAAACAAGAATTTAAAGTGGAGGAAAGAAGAGGGCTGGTTAGTAGTTTAAAAAGAAGAAATGAAATAAACACTCTTGTCTTACATAACCAAATGCTTGAAAACAATAGCTAAATTCACACTATAAATAAGAGTCTTCTAAGACTTCTAGCTCACAAAAAAGACACTAGGCTTCAAGCAAGAATGGAGGCGCAATCAGTAGAGTTTTCAAGGTCCAAAATACCTTTAAAAAGAGCACAAAACTAATTTAGGAGCTCTTTTAGTCTGAAAGATTCGCCATTGAGATAATTCTTAGCCCATTTTGTTTAAATAAGTTATTTAGATTTTCATTCTAAAATATTAATCAATTAGAAGCATAGAAATTTATTATTGTATATAATCTTTACAATATTCGATTTCTAGTTAAAAATTTCACAATTTATGAATAGCTAAAATTTTCTATGATAGTATTTATATCATTTTTTAATAAAATAATAAGTTTAATCGCAGTCCTTACTTATTTTATATTTACTTTATCAGATGATTAAACATTCCAGAAATTAACCACATTAGTTTTAGAATGTTACGATAGTTTATCTTATTAATTTTCAACATCGATTAGAAATGTTTTACTCCTCTATCCTATAATGATAGTCATGTTTGCATTTTCATTTCTAGAATTGAAACTAAAAGTGAACTTCCAAACTAGACAATCATTTCGGCAATGAGGGACTATTGGTAATAGTTTGAAGGCATCTCTTTCAGGGCTAGCAAAGGAGGCAGTAGGAGCAGCGTTGGACATCTTACATTTTCACCCTCTTGAACTTTTTGTGCTTTCGGTGCTGTTAAGCATTTTAGTTTTTGATTTGTAGGTAGCATTGAGAAAAGTAGCCTTTAGTTGGAGCCTAAAGATAAAATCTTGTATCTTTGTAGCAGTACCAATTCTTTTGTGTATGTTTTAGCTTTCTTGGCTGTTGTAGCAGTGGAAAAAATGAATAAGATGTTCTTATCTGATTTGATTCAAAAAAAAAAGAAGGATTAATGATTTTATACAACTGGGCCATTCTAGTTTTACAAGAAATTTTATTTCCAAATATGCGTTAATCAATCACTAAAAAATAGGTTGTCTCACGAGGCTTGATTTTCAGTGGGAGCATTGTGGCCCCTCCAATCTTTCCTGGGGCTTATTTCCAAAACGGGTTATGGTACAATAATATAAGCAAATAGAATGTTATATTTTCATAATATTAAGATATAAGATGTATTAGTAAAATGTTATAATTTTTAAAATGAATTTTAGAAATTCAAGAGTAGGACTTCAACTAGTCAAATTCAAAGTAAAGAAAACTTTAGTCATATCTAAAATAATATATATCTGCGATGATAGGCGAAAGGAACAAGGAACAAGTCCTAAAAGGCAAGAAGAAGGAAATTATTTACGTTAAAGTGCATTCACTCACACAAAGTACATGTTTGTTTAAATTCTTATGTGGACTAAATATTTTCTTTATATGCATGAATGTGACATGTTTTATGATTTACGATTTAAAGTTGAGACTTAAGCACGTACGATATTATGGTGGTGATCACGAAAACGACGGCCAAAGTGGATGAAAAAAACTTGAAATCCTAATCCTAAGTAAATGCAAATGTGGATGAAAAAGTTGGACAATCCAAATCCCATGTAAATGAAAAAAGGAGTGAAAAAACTGAAAAGCCCAAACCCCAAAGTAATTGATAGGTTGGAAAGCTTACCCTTAAAAAATGTCCCAATTTTCCGAAGGCTTAATTCTAGAAATGTGCACATGTTAGCTCAATGAAGTAGATAGCCTTGTCTTAATTTTTGAAATGAAGGAAAGTATAAAATATTAATTTGAAATGATCATATATTTGTGAAATGATTTTTATATTTATATGAGTGTTTAAATATGCATGTAGTGACCCCTCCCCCCTCCTAATTAAATACTTCGAGTAATAGTGACAATGGTTACTACGAAGAGAGTTTGTGAGGTGAATGGTGGATCTTGTCATCCGTTTTTTTAACTGAAATTCATTCATTAAAACTTTTCTCAGATTTTTCTATCAAAATCTCTAAACATGTGATAACAGGGAAATAACTTAAATCTTTGCTTGCAAGGCTTCCGAATGAAATAAATCCAAAAGGAGTGCAACTCTAAAAAGAGATATAATTAAAGCCATGAAAACATTTCCTAAATCTTGAAGGCTGAGACCATGGTTTCCAAAGTCACGATCCGGATCGTAGGATCATACGATCAGGTGATTCAGAATTACCAAATCAATCATGGATCGAACTAAATCGTTCTTTGTTTTGGGATTGTCTCAGGATTGACTCAGGATTGATCAGAATCGTAGGTTCGGTCCGATCCAACCGATTATGTCGATCCTACAACAAATGCCAAAGTTGAAAAAAAAAAACTAAAAATGAAGAAAAGATAGAGGAAAGAGACATAAAAATGGAGAAACAACTTCAAAATCATCCAAAAGCACGAGCACTGATGCGTAGATACATCACAATTGGAAAGACTAGCTTCAATTTCTCATCCACACTACCATTATTCTTCAAAGTTCAAATCTTGCTATATGAGTGAGGTTTGTTGCAATTTCAATGCTCATTTTTATTTTATTTTATTTTTTTGGGAAAAACTCTGGTAGAGAGTGATAGGAGAATGAAAATGGAAGAAGGGATGTGGACCAAGAAGATGAGAAGATTTTGGAGTCTGAAGGCTTTTTCTTTCATTTTCTTTTTTTCCCTGAAACAAGTCTGAACTCTGAAGGTTATTAAGAAAATTATTCCTTTTGTTTTTTTTTTTTGTGGAGAATGGGGATCAAAGTAGATGATTCTAGTTGTAAAGCACTACGGAACTAATTTTCTAATTTATGAATGAAACCTCAACATTTCAATTACATTAAATTTTACCCATAAATCAGTATAAAAAAATATAAAATTTAACATATATATTATCGATCATACCGATTTTGAAATCCCAATTTTGAAAACCCTGGCTGAGACACTTTGTCACCTTTGTTACCCGAAACCATAAATAAGAATGGTCTCTAGAAACCTCACCTGAGATGCCAAAGTAAATCATAAACTCAAAAGTTAATGACAAAAACAATTAAGTACCCCTCAATCATCCCGGGATATGATAGACCGAAAGAACTCTTCCATACCGCCAAGAATTTTCTTCTAATCATTTCCATGGACAATGGTTAGGTTTATAATCAGTTTCTCCTATTTCAGTAAGAATCTTTTTCACTTCATCTAGATCATCTTGCTGACAAAAAGATCCAATAACTGTCCCATAAGTTGTAATGTTAGGCTTCAATCCCTTATGAGGCCAACTTCGAAACATACTCAATCTTCATTAAATCTTTCACTACTAAACAAGCCACGATTTACGGGAGAGTGTAAATATCTCTACTCCTTTAATTTCCAACTTATGCAACATGTCCATAGCGTTGTCAATTTCTTCAACTTTGCACAAACCCTTCATGAACACGGAGTAAGTGAAAACATCAGCTTGAGTGCCAATCTCCTTAGAAAGTTCCTTTGCTTGATCAATCAAATCGTACTCAAATAGGCCCTGCAACAAAATGTTTAAGGTGCTTACTGTGGCTGTTACACACTTAACTTGCATATCTTCAAACAATTGCAAATCCTCCTCGTGATTTGATACCAGAAAGTACCAACCCATCAAAGTGTTGTAAGACCAAGCATGAGGCTCAATGCCTTTAGCAACCATGCTATCAAAAATCCTCCGGGCTTCTCTAACCTCGCCCTGGATACTATAGCCATACATGAGTGAGTTATAGCTAATAAGGGTAGGTGATTTTCCTTGTTCAACCATAGTCTCGAAAAGTTTAACCGCAATTTCCTGACCATTTTCCCTCAAGGCATCTCTTGAGACCCAATCCATAATGATGTTGTACATAGGGACATTTGGTTTAATACCATAAGAAACCATTTCTTTCCATACTATCCTTGCCATGTCTGATTTACCTAGAAGAAGAAAACCATGGATCAGGCTACCAAATGCGACGGCATTGGCTGCAATCCCTTTCTGAATCATGTCACGAAAGTGAGCAAGAGCTTCATCCATCATTTTATGTCTACACATGTAGTTAATCTTAGAATTGTGGATGATTATATTGGCTTTGATACCTATATTCTCCATATCTAGGGCTAACATTGCAATTTTCCTATTCTCAGCTTTCAAAAGTCTGTCAATAATGGTTTCACACATAATGACGTTGGGGACACACAATTTTCTTTTGAAAATTTTCCCAAATAGCTCTTGTGCCTGGCCATACTCTTCTTGTCGAAAGAATCCATCAATTAAAGTAATGAAAGTAACAACGTCTGGCACAAAACCCCTCTTTAACATACCTCTAAGTATTGATAATGCCATAATAAGTTCACCCTTCAAACAATATGAGTAGATGACCATGTTCATGGTCACCACATCAACTAGAAGCTTCTATTTAATCATATCAATCTACATCCCTAATGCGAGGGAATGCCATCCTTTGTTGTTATCACAAGTTTGAGTAGCAGACCAAATTCCTTCACTACACTCGAGGGAGGATCCATCCGATAAATGTGCAGATAGATGTCAAAGCATCATCTCAGTTCTTGATTTTACTTATGTCATCTATCAATTAACCATACCCCACTGATTGTTTGATTTACCAGAGAAAGAACGGGATAGAAAGTTGCCGGACACCACCTGAGAAATAATTTCTTTGAATATCTTCCCCCTTTTACAGTCCTATATGTAGCAGCAGCAATAACAACACTATAGACCCAATAATTATTAATTCTCACGATTCTAGAATATGAAAAAACAGAAACTCCCAAACCAATATATAAAGCAGAAACGATTTGGTGGATCTTGTCATCCACAATAGAGATATAGAAGAAATTTTTCAAGTGATGATAAAAAGGTTATGTTTCTTGTTTAATGTATTGTGGAATTTAAATTAAGATTTAGTCACTTTGGAAAGACTTTAGCACCTTAGATAGTTAAGAAGAGACAAGTGCCTTACTTGTATATACCATCGAAGAAACTTCTTTATTGCACTTGTGGCATGTCAACTAGGCTCTAGTTTGGGTCGTGACATGTTCATGTAGCAAAAATATCATACTGAAAGGTATAATACAAACTTATTATTTCTTGTTCAACAGTTTGTTTTACAAGATACCAATTAAATTTTGATACTTCTTCTTGCATGGTCTACAAATCCACTTTAGTATTACCATGAAAAAAAATTAAAACATGGCTCATTTATTAAAAAAAAAAAGGGAGTTCGACTAGTTTACCTCTTTGGTCAATCAAAAGAATATAAATTCTACCAATGTAGCCACAAAAACTACCACAATTGGACATCTCTGAAAATAAGACAAGAACTATACTAAGTGTAGTTAAGCTATATTTGCATAACTTTTGTTAGTCCAATCATAACAATGTCACAAGTAAAGGGTATCGGTTTATCATTTCCAGAAGTGCCTTTCACTAATGGTTTGAAAATTTATAGTTAACCAAGAAATAAAATAAAAAATAGCAACTGTGATAATAATTAAAAAGCCAAATCGTCAAATGTCACATTAGAATACATTTAAAAGAATGGCATAAAATCTATACTTTTGTCATTGATTACTAACATATGATATTGTAACAATTCCTTGTAATCATTTTCATAAAAATAATAAACTACTTTATTTTTTAATAGAACTTTTTACCAAAAAAATGAAAAACATGAATCTCAGTTTGAGGAATAGAGCTTACGTTTTAGAAGATTTCTTATGATGATTGTTAGAGGTGAAATTTACTTAACAATAAAGATAGTGGGTGGTGATAAACCCAACTAGAGTTTCTTATTTTGGCCAAGACTACAGATTGAAATAATAAATAAAATAGTATTTCAAAAACCATTCTTGCTTTGGCCAAGACAAGTTTTAAGTAACTTCCACAGCCTAAATCAGGTTCATTGTATGTTCAAGACTTGCTTTCCATAATTTTTAATTACCTAAACACCATTCTTGAGAACATCAGCCTTTAAATATCAATCTAAAAAGGATAGACATTCTCTAAAAACACTAAGCCCCTTCATGGTAAGTCTCTTTTAACACCAATTGTAGCAATTTCTCGAAGTTCTCATTAGGTAAGCTGAATCAAGTTATAACTAACCCTGTTCTAATATCAAAAACCAACCAATGTAAATAACCAATTACAAGTACTCGAGGCACATCATAAGTAGCAGTATATGGAAAATTAATCAATCTCTTCTAAGTTTTTTTTTTCATGAACATCAACTAATGATCTGGCATAATCTATCTCATACTCATGCTTACAATAAAATGAAAGATTGATAACAATCATATTATCATATAAATCAAAAACAAAAAAATTTCTATTTCGACTGACTCTGAAGTAGTGAGATTGATTACAAAAATAATACCTATGTAACTTAATAGTAGAATATACCTATGTAACTTAATAGTTGAACTAATCCATGGCATTAACCTTCCTTAGAAAGTGATCTGCATTCTCAATTGGTGAGAATAGAATGATTTTTCTGCAAATCCCATCATAATTGTCAAAGGAAAAAGTGATGACACAGTGAGAACTACCCGAGAGATTAAAGAGAAAGTTTGTTCTGGGGGCAAAGGAGATGAGAATGGAGATAGTCTTTGATGAATCAAACCGAATTTTCAACCCCCATTTCCAACCTGTGACATGTCTCCTCCTCCTAAAAAACATGATCAAGTGAAAAATAATGTTTCTGGAAACAAAACTCACTTGTACGCATTTAGTTATGTTTAATAGTAAAAATATTTTTCTTGGTTCGCAACAGTCCTGAAGCAATAGATTCCTTTGATTTGTCAATTGTTTTCACCAGTAGCAAATCCATCCATGGTTTAGTGCAAAATATATATATATATATATATATATATATATATATATATATTAGTTTGTTTTAATAAGTGGGATTAGGGCTTTTTGATAAGAAGAGACGGGTGGCAGGCTGGAAAGGGAGATTTGAATATTGGGTTTGACCATGATTGGGATAAAAAGAAAGAAAGCGGGTAAAAAGGTAATTATTACATCAAGCTTAAAAATATTTTCAAATTTTTTTATTTTTAACATTTTAATGAATCATTTATTAATATATATTTCGACTCACGTTTGTGCCTGCTATGGCGAGAACGCAAAGAAAGTGAAAGAGGAAAACTGTTGCAGTATAAGAGGAGCAGTTGGAGGACGAAGTTCGGGTTCTGACGTAGCTATCGAAGGAAGGGGCTTCATCATCCAAGGCTGCGCGGGAATCTGGTAGTAACCATAATTCCCTGAATTTGCATAATCAAGCTTTAGAAATGCTTTGTCATCAAAGATAGTAGTGGAGGGGTTGAATCGAATGAGAAATTATGGTGTGTCATTCTGTTGACTAGAAAACCACAAAGAGTTGGAGTCAATTGCTTATGGTAGACACAAAACTTCATTTCGTTGAGCCTTTGTTTGTTGATAGTAGTAAAGTCGCTAAAATCAATCAGGCCGATGTCCAATCTGAAATTGATTATTGGGAGACCTCTGTCTTGTGCTATGTTATTGGATCCCATCCTCCTTATGAGGTGATGTGTGGGTATATAAGAAGGACTTGGGGGTTTCTTAGGATTGACAAGATTCTTCTGATGGATAATGAAATTTTTGTGGTTCAGTTTAAGGAAATGGCTCCCAAGGAGAAAATTCTTCAACATAACATGTATCACTTTGACAATAAACTTTTTATTATGAAATATTGGTCCATCAAAGAAGGTATTCGGACGGAGGAGATACTGAGAGTGCCTGTGTGGGTGAAGTTGCCAAGTTTGAACTTGAAATATTAGAATGCTGAAGCTCTGAGTAAAATAGTGAGTACTATAGGTGTTTCGTTGATGATGGATGATACCGCAGCTCAGAAAATTCGGGCAGATTTTGCTAGAGTAGTGGAGGAAATGGAAATTCAAGAATAGATGCTTAGTGAGGTACTTTTTGAGAATGAGGTTGGCAATGTAATCACTCAGAAGCTGCAATATGATTGGTTACCTGTCAAATGTTCTGTGTGCAAGGTATTCAGAAATGAAGGACAGAGTTATAGACTAAAGGTATGGAAGAAGAAAGAAACTGAGGCGAAAGGGATCGAGGAACGCATTGTTCAGCATAATTAGCAGCCAGAGAAAGAGAAGTTAGAGCAAAAGCAACAAGTGTCGGATGAGGCATTGGAAGGTAGTGTTTTGAGTAATCAACATGAAGCCCACCAGAGTATCAAATGTGAAAAAGAGGACAGAAAGGGGGGACTAGCAAAATACACAATCCAAAGGCCTAGCCTCAATGGATAGTGCCATATTTTGGAATGAAAGGGGACTTAATAGTCCCCTGAAACACAGGGAGGTACAACATTGCCTCTCTGTTAATAAGGTGGGATTGGAAAGGTTAGCTGAAAATTTCAGTGGCATAATGGTGAAGGAATTAATGGATGAAAAATGGCAGCAATATAATCATTTCAGCAATCATAAGGGGAATAACAAAGGCATAATTTTAGTATTATGGAGACACCATGAGTATGATGTCAAAGTGGCTCTGATGAACAATTAGTGCACTGTGAAGTTTGGAATTTAACTAAGCAATGTAGGTTCTTGATGACAGTTATATATGGTGACCCACAGACCAGTAATAGGAACAAGTTATGGCAGCAACTGATGATGATTGGAAGTTCTATACAGCCAGAGTGAATGATTGCAGGTAATTTCAACAGTGTGTTACAGGCAGAAGAGAAAGTAGGTGGAGTTACAGCTATCAGTACGGATACTGACATGTTCCAACTGACAGTAGAACAATGTCAAATACGGGATATGAAAACGAATGGCGCAGTCTTTACATTGAACAATAAGAGATTTGGAGGAGATTTGGAGGAGACAGAATAGTGGAAAGCTTTACCACAATATTGAATGCTGGCATTTCAGATCATTGTCCTCTACTTATGCAGTGGAAGCAGGAAGCACAAAAGAGGAATACATCAGTTAAATTCTTCAATATGTGGTGTCAAAACCCACAGTTGAAGGAGTTAATTGCAGAGCAATGGAAGTATGGAGTTGAAGGTTGTAAGCAGTTTCAGGTGGTGAAAAAACAGCATATGCTTTAACGAAAATTGAGAGAGTTTAACAGAAAAGAGTTTTCAGAGTTTGAGAAACAGGCACAAGCAACTAAAGAAGAGTTGGAGAAATTGCAGGAACAGCTTGTGGTAGAACCATGGAATGAAGTATTACATAGGAAAGAGAAGGAGCTGGTGGCAAGTTATACAGTAAAAAGCAGAGCAGTAAGCAGCTTTTTGCAACAAAAACTGAAATAAAGATGGGTTAAAGAAGGAGATCAGAATATGAAATATTTTCATGCCAACTTGAAGAGAAGAAGGATTCAAAATAGATAATAGCATTCTAGACTGAGGAAATCACTACGGAAACTGATTGAAGTATGGTGGTGCAACATTTTGTTAGTTATTATGAAACCCTGCTGGAAAAAGAGGAACCTAGAGTCCCTGCCAATAGAGAGATTTTTGATGTGGGGAAAAAGCTTTCTGTGGAACAGCAATTGCAGCTAATAACGGAGGTCACCGGAAAAGAAGTTAGGCTGCAATGTTTGAGATTGATAGCACGACGACTCCAGGCCCTGATGGTTATGGGAGCGACTTTTATAAGCATGCTTGGAATGTCATTGGAAATGATATAGTGGAGGGTGTTTTGGAGTTTTCCAAACTAGGAACCTTTTACGACAGCTGAACACTACTATCATCTCGCTCATTCCTAAAGTTTGCATACCGAAAAATGCCACTGAGTATCGGCCTATAAGCTGCCGGAACACCCTATACAAATGTGTCTATAAAATCATCTGCAAGAGGCTAAGCCAGGTACTTTCTTATATTGTTGACTCTAATCAGTGCTTTTGTACAAGATAGGAAGATTATTCATAATATCTTGCTAACTCAAGAATTAATACGCTTATATAGAAGGAAAAATGTTAATCCAAGTTGTATGATGAAAGTAGATATAAGAAAAGCATATGATTCTGTTAGTTGACAGTTTGAAGAGGAAATGTTGGTTGCTTTTGGCTTTCCTTATCAATTTATTGGTTGGGTAATGGAGTGTATTTCTAGTTGTAGATATTCGCTAAATATGAATGGTAGTAGTGTGCGGTATTTTGAGGGAAAAAGATGATTGAGACAAGGGGATCCTATTTCCCCCTTGTTATTTGTTATGGTAATGGAATATCTCACTAGAGGGTTTAAAAGGGAGGTAGAAGGGAAAAGGATTCAAATGCAACCTAAATGTGGTAAGCTACAGATTACCGATTTAGGTTTCGGAGATGGCCTCATAATTCTGTGTAAGGCAGATGAGTCTTCTGTTAGAACGGTACACCAGGTTCTACAGCACTTTGGGGATACCACAGGATTATGGGTGAATCGGGGGAAGTCCAACTTATTCTGTGCTGGTGTTAGAGAAGAGGTGCAAGAGAAATTAAAGGAAATCATGGGGTTTGAAATGGGCAGTTTCCCCATGAAATACTTAGGTCTGCCAATTTCACCCATGAAATGGACTGATAGTGATTCTCAGCAGTTGATTAAGAGAATTACTAAAAGAGTTAGATGTTGGAGTACAAAACACTCTCCTACGCTGGGAGGAACCAACTGGTAAATTCGGTTCTTCTCTCTATGCATATTTATTGGGAAAAACTTTTCTGTTACCTAAGGAAGTGATCACCCAAATAACAGGAGTAGGTAGGGAATTTTCGTGGGGAAAGAATGATGAATGATGCAGGGAACAAAGTAGCTCTAATTACTTGAGAAAATGTGTGTAGACCTGAAAAAGAAGGGGGGTTGAATATTTGGGAACCAGGAATTTGGAACCTAGCTGCTGTTGCTAAGAAATTATGGGATATTACAGCTGATAAGAATGTGTTACATATGGGTTAGATGAATCATGCTTATTATTTCAAAGGGAAGGATTTATGGGAGTATGAGGCGCCTGCTGACTGCAGCTGCCACAGGAGATGACTGATAATGATCAAACAGAAACTGAAAGAAAGTGTGGAGGCTAGAATATGGGAGCTAGGGAAGACTGAATGCATCACAAAGAAAGTGTATGAACACTAGAGAAGTAAAGGGCAGAGGTTTGAGGGAGCACATATGATTTGGGACAGAATTTGGTTTAAAAAACATAGCTTCATTGATTGGATTTCTTCGCAGGGCAGATTAATGACGATGGAGATAATGATCAGATTGAATATTATAGCACCACAGAGTGGATGTATACTCTGTGGAGAGGATATAATGGAAAGTAGTACTTTTTGAGTGTAACTATTCTAGCAGTTTATTGAGGACACTGTTGGATTGGATTGGGATTCAAGTCATGAACCTAAAACTAAAACAAGTGCAACAAAGGATCAAGTTTGGTTGCCAGGATAAGAAGATGAAGAGGAGCTTGGCAAATGTAGCTGTTATGGCATGTGTTTACTGTGTTTGGATGGAGAGAATGTGAGAAGATTTGAGCAGAAATGCAGAGATGTTGCAGATGGAATGGAGTAGATCAAGCAGGAACTGATGTAGAGAATCCAAAGTGTTTGTAAAAAGATCAAACCGGCTGATTTAAAGTAGTTAGAAACAAGAGGTATTCATCTTGTACAGTGATAGGAAGTGAATGTATTAGCATAGGCAAAGGAAAAGGAATGTAAACTGTAAGGACCACAAAGTTTTGTAAGTAAATAGAATTCACCTTTTACAAAAAAAAAAAAAAATTGTGATTTTTTTCTAGAAATTAAAATTATGAATTAGAAAAAATATCCATGTTGACTTGGACCACAATTGATCAACTTGAGAACCCCAAATGTAAATGTCAAACAAAGTAAAAAAGAGCCAATTTCTTGAAAACACAGATGTAAAGGACCAAACCAATGAATTGTTGAGGTTATTGATCAAATTATGTTTTTTTTGACAAATGTAAACAACCATCTGAGTAGTTTACTTACTACGAATAGTCCAAATTTTAAATTTCTGACTTTTTTCGGGACAATGGGAGTAAGAAATTATAACATATTTCTTTTTGAGTTTCTGATAAAATTTAATCAATACAGTAGACATCTCAAAACTTAATATGGACTATTTTTTTTAAGATAGGGGTAGTATCTCATTGTTATTTTTTCAAATTTTACTTGCATGCTTGTAAGTTATGGAAAATTAGGGGGAGAACTAAATGTTCATTGGCAACAATTTATCCATCTAGAAGCCGGGGAATCCATGAGTTTGATGATTAAACCTACATTATTGGTTTTTCTTTATTCGTAAAAGCTACCCCAAAGTAAATTCTAATTTGAAGATGTACACTTCACGAATCAAATACTACTAAATTCTAAACAAGTGACTAATCAAGCCAGCATTAATTTGGTGTATCCTAGCAAGACCTACAATTAATAATAATTAACTAAATTATTATTGGTTAAAAAAATTCGATTCCTCATTGATTCCTTGAATGAAAACTAGCCGACGAAGAATACCCAAAAGAACAATTTGCCGACGACCCTTGTAACAGCATCAACGGGGCAGCAGCCGGTGTGGTCGCTGACGGCTTCGGCTTGTGCACGTCGTTATCGGAGGACAGATCGTTAACGTCCCGCCGGATTCCCTTCAACAACGCCACGACATCTTTCATCGTCGGCCGATCTTCGGCCCGGTTACTGGTACAAAGCAATGCAATGCCGAGGGCTTGTAACATTTCTTGAAGTTGTGTGTCGGGATGGCCTTGGAGGTTCGGATCGACGATGTCGACGAGATCCCTTTTGGACTTTAAGTGATCACGAACCCATTGAATGAGATGATGTTGATTTTCTGAGAATGCTGGATCTTCAGCTGGCTTTTTGCCTGTGATGATCTCTAGCAACACTACTCCGTAGCTGAATACGTCGCTTTTCTCCGTGATTTTTAACATGCAACCATGCTCTGCATTCAAAGGTGTGTTGAACATGTCACAAAAACACATATACTAAGGGAGGAAAAAAGAAAAAGGAAAAAAGAAACGTTTTAAATACATACATTCCAACAAATTAGCATTTCAGAAATCTTCAGTGAAAAAATTTAATTCATTTTAGTAGTAATTTATAGTATAGAACAGCAAGGCTAGTGTCAATTCATGATCCGATGGAATAACTAATTTTATTACTATGTCACGATAAGTGACAATGAGAAAGGGCCAAGAACTAAGTGGTTATTGTGGAGTGTGGCCATGGTTCTGCTAATTAATACTGGGTAAGCTATAGGCCTATAGATGGTGTTATTGGGGTGTACACATCAATCAGTATTGATGCATGCTTAATTTATTTGTCAAGCGTTGCAGCCAAAATATATGAGTGAGATTCTTTCTGTCCCCTATTTAGTGCTAGATTATGATAATATTACTAATTAGTTGAAGTATTTGTTATGGGTGCATAAAAATGAATAGAGGAATCTTATTTGCGATAACAAGAAGTAAATAAATTTCAAGGGGAACAAATTCTGTACTGTATTTACAGTATACTAATGAAACAACATACAATAAATTTCATCAAAATAACAATATTCCTACATTTTGAATCAACTACAAGTATTTATGAAAAATATTATCTCATCAGAGAGAGGATTGGATGAAAAACGTCTCGTTGTCCAAGTGTACGTGGACAACAAAATTGAATCTCACATGCTTTAAAAGCTTCCTCACATGACTTCACATGCTCTCTGATCAAACTACTCACATCACCACCCCCACCATGCAAAAAACTATTTTATTTAATTACTGATTTGAAAAATGAAATTCCAGATAAAGAATCAAACATTGTTTTATTCCCTTCTCTAGTTTTTAGGTTCCCAACAAAACCGTTGATAGCTCCCCTCACGTTTCCTATGTTGTAAAGTTCTTGTCTCCCATTAGCCTTTCCTTTTTGGGTTGTTTAAATAATAAATTCCTTGTTTCTTAACCCCAAAAGCAATTTTCAGCAAAATGGATTTGTTGATAAAAGTGGGGAAGAACAAGAAAAAGAAAGAAACAATATAATATATTCCAATACCTAATCGGGACAAAGTTGGGCGTATGAGCTAGTGTCATGGAATGAATGAGGCAATTAAAGGAAAGCGCAAACAAATGTGTTATGCGGAATGCAAAACATGGATTTGATTCTTTTTTTTACCTGGAGCGAAGTAGCCATATGATCCAGCAAACTGATGAGTTGCTGAAGACCGATTTTCCTCGTCGAGAAGCCTGGCGAGACCAAAGTCGGCAAGGCATGGCTCGTATCCATCTCCTAACAAAATATTGTCCACTTTCACGTCCCGATGGAGGATCGGCGGCTGACAATCGTGATGCAAGTAAGCTAATCCCTCGGCAACACCTAATGCGATCTTGAATCGCGTCTCCCATTGGATTAAGAAACCTTTTCCTCGTCCGCTAATTATGTTTTCACCGTGTAACAATGTACCTAAAGTACCATTAGGCAAATAGTCGTAAAACAAGAGTTTTGACTTCCCGTTTGATGCCCATCCCAAAAGTCTCACAATGTTCCTGTGCCGAATGCGAGCCAACGTTGCAATCTCCGACGAAAATGCCGATGCCAAGAACTTCTCCGATGATGACAACCCGTATCTTTTCACCGCCAGCGATAATCCCGACGGGAGAATGGCCCGATAAACCACACCGGAATGCCCACGGCCGATCACATTGCTTGGGGTCAAGCATTTAGTGATTTCACCAATGGACAAATCAAGCTTTTGGTACACGGTCACCTCCCATGGTGGGCCCATCTCCGCGTCATCGTTGTCCACGTCACACTCAATGTCCCCAAGGCCCCTCTTTTTGTTCACGACCACGATGTAAAGTGCAGCTAAGAGCAGAACACATGCGGCGGACAATAGCACCACCATAGTCACCCTCGCTACTCTACTCCGTCCAGCGGCGCCGCCCTTATCGGCGGAGCATTTGTTGCCGGCAAAGCACAAATCTGGATTTCCCGATAGAACGCTGAGCGGCAGCTTTGAGAAGAATGATGTATCAGGGACATGGCCGGAGAAGTTGTTGTTTGAGATATTGAGAACCACCAGGTTTTGAAGGTCGGCAAGAAAATGAAGATCGCCGGTGAGCTGATTATGAGAAATGTCCAGCACCCCAAGCTTATCCAATGACGCGAACTCTGCCGGAATATTGCCGGAAAGTCTATTCCAGCTCAAATTGAGAGCAATCTCCAGTGCAGGAATCGTGCCTAAACTTGACGGAATCTGGCCGGAAAATCCATTGCTGCTTAAATCAATTAACTGAAGTGTTGAACAAGATCCCAACTGACTGGGAATCGGCCCTGAAAAGTTATTCTTTCCGAGGACGAGTTTTGTCAGTGAGCTCAATGAACTTAAACCCGGGCTCAATGATCCCTCCATCAGATTATCCGAAGCATCCAAAAACTGGAGATTAACTAGCTGAGTTAAATTCTCCGGCAAGTTCCCGCCGATTGAATTTGAATGTAAATCGAGAAATGTAAGATTCCGACATCCAGAAATCTCCGGCGGGATCACACCGGTGAGCCTATTTGAACCCAAGTCGAGAAAATTCAATTTCTTCAAGTTCCCAATATCAGGGGGGATTGAGCCTGTGATCTTATTTTCACCGGCCCGGAAACGGACCAAAGATGAACATTTTCCGATTTCCGATGGGATCACACCCGCCAGATTGTTGGACAACAACAACAACTTGTTGAGATTCTGCAATTCGAAGATCCCTTTCGGGATGTTACCCGTCAATGAATTCTGCGACAAGTCGACGGCCTCGAGGTTGCGGCAAAAGGACAGAGAAGATGGAATATCTCCTGTGAGATTATTAGCCCATAGAAACAACAACGTCAGATTCGACAAGTTACCGAATTCAGAAGGGATGGTACCTGTGATTTGATTGTTATCGAGCTCGATGTGAGTCATGGCGGTACAGTTTCCGAGTTCTGATGGGATCCGGCCCGAAATCTGATTGACACTCATTTGTAATTCCTGCAACAATGTCAACTTCCCAAATGTGTTGGGAATGCTGCCAGTTATGGAATTGATTGAGGCGTCAATGACAATCAACTGCCCGCAGTTCCCGAGTTCCGGAGGAATTGTACCAACTAAATTGTTTTGCCACAACAAAAGGTTCTGGAGATTTTGGAGGTTTCCTAAACTGGCCGGAATTGATCCGGCGAGGGAGTTTTCATAGAGGTAGATGTTTTGCAGTGAGGTACAATTCCCAAGCTCCGACGGGATCTGACCGGATAAAAGGCTTGTATAAATGGCAAGTGTTTGAAGGTTTTTCAACAAACCAAGGGAAGAAGGAAGGAATCCAGAAATGGAGGTTTCTGCTAAGCCTAATGTGATCAAATTGGTACAATTCCCAATCTCCTGCGGAATCGAACCTTGAAGATTCTTGTTACCCCCAGCTCTCAACACTTCAAGATTCTTCAAGTTTCCTATGCTCGCCGGAATTGCGCCGCTGAGCTGATTATCAAACAATATCAGCACACTCAAGCTTGCCAGATTTCCAATTTGGTAAGGGAGAGAACCTTCAAGCCGGTTAGAATTCAGATGAAGTTGCTCAAGCTTTGGAAGATTGCAAATCTCAGACGGGATTTCTCCAGTCATTGCGTTATCACTCAAATCCAAAAACGTTAATCCCCGAAGTATACCAATTCCCGCCGGAATCGATCCGGTTAGATTCGTACCAGATAAGACAATCTTGTTCAAGGACAATAAGGATGTGAAATTACTAGGAACACTTCCAAGTAAATCCATGTACGTCAAATTCATCTCCGTAACTTCCCTGTTTAAATTACAAGTGATCCCATGCCACCCACATGGAGTTTCATCGGTTGGATCCCAATTGCTTAAAGATTCAAGTGAACCATTTAAGCTTTTCTTCCATGAAAGCAGAGCTTCCCCTTGCGGATTTACACCCAAAACAGGGGAAACAAAAAGGGCTGTTATAACAACAAGAGGCACAACAATTAAGGAGGAGGAGAAAAGTTTCCATTTTTTGGGGTTAACAACAAAAACAGGCATTACAAAGTCCAAGGTTTTTCGGGCAAAGGAAGATTAGGGGTTAATGTTTGTTGAACCTTGGGAGGAACAAGAAAACAGAGTTGTAGTATTGGGAGACGAACAACAAAAATAACCAAATCATATCCTTGATTAAGGCCTACGTTATTATTAAATGGGTTCTATTTCTAAATAGAAGTACTGCTAAAACTCTAGTATCAAATTAGAGAAATTAACAATTAAAAAATAGCCAGAATCTCGGGATCCAAGAACAGCTATTATGTTGGTGCAGGGAGAAAGAAAGAGATGGCATTTTTAGATGTTCGTGAAGGGAAGGAAGAAGAGATGGCATTTTTTTTTTTTCTGACGGAACTGAATATATATATACTCCTTCCATTTTTTTTAATAGGCCCATTTAAATATACGCGGAGATTAAAAAAAAATACGTAATGTAATTTATGTAGTTAATTTTAAATAAAATTCTCACTACACCCTTATTAATGACTAGTGAGTTATTAGTTGATATATGAGAGAGTTAAAGTTAAAATTAATTAAATGTTCTTGATTTCAGTGAAAGTGGAAAAGGTATATTAAAGAGTTTATAGAAAAAATTAATTAATTTTTTGAAGTGGGACTAAGTTTTGAAACATCCCAAAAGGGAAAGTGAGCCTATTGAAATGAAATTGGGGAGTATATTTTTAAAAAAAGTTTTTTAGAATTGGGATTTTATTTTATTTTAAGAAGATAGATCAGTCCCCAGTGAGTGACTAGTGAATTTTGCAACTTGTTTCCTATGTTTCAAGTAAAAAGAAAAAAATTTCTTTCTATTCCCAAAAAAATTCCACCATTTGTGTGTGTTTTGCTAATAATATTATTACAAGAGGACGCAAAAATTGATTTATTACTTGGTGTACGTCACAGAAATAAACAATTCCAGTGACATGCCTATCTTCCTTAACAAAATTGGTGTGTTTTCAAAAAAAAAATAAAATAAAATTTGTATATAGTAGTCCAAAAAAAAAAAAGAAATGTAATACTATTCAAATTAAGGTAGAATGCAATGTGCAAGCAGAAATTAAGGGATTTTCTTTTTTAAAAAGAAAGTATAAATTAAGGGATTCATGAGTAACCTGCAGATCTTTCAAGAATTTGATTACTTTTGGTCCTTTGAAAAACTAACTTAAAATCAGCAATTTATGTTACTAATAATAGATTAACTCCTTTCAACGTGGACGGGTGATTAAAGTCGAATCTAGATCTAAATCATTTTTACATAAGAATTTGAAAAATCAAATCGACTAGATCTATGACACATTTCTAATTAAAAAAAAAAAATCTGTTAAACAATAAGAGCAGCACTTATCTACCAATGGTGGCAACAGCCGTAGTCATATTTTTCAGATCAGATTAAAAAAAGTTTTAACAGCTTTATTGGTTACAAACATGAAGGATGTACGGTAAAGCCTGAGGTTTACTGTTACTTACATGATCAATAAACCTAAACATTGGGCAGGCTTTATAGCGTTTTTTCCCTACTCCCTTCTTTTATACTCCCTCCATTCCAAAATATATGTCAGACGGAGGAAAATCAATTTTTTTCAAAATAGATGTCATTTTCGCATATCTAAGCATATTTTGTCAACTTCTTCCAATATTGCCCTTACATGGGAAATTGCAATTGTATTGAAAGTAAAAGTCTATTAGAGTAAATGATATTGGAAAATAGAAATAGACTTATATTGAGAATAAATGAGGATAGTTTAGTATTTTAACCAAATATTTAATGTCTCCTTAAATTTTGTAAAATTCCTCCAGCGACATATATTTTGGAATGGAGTGAGTATTGCCTTTGTAGGGGTCAAGACAGGGAATGGTAAACAATATAAATTAATGAAAATGATAAGAATAGTAACAATTGTATAGTAAAAAAAAATGTCTATCTACTTTTGGTTCAGACAGTACTAGTGTTTTACCCGTGCGTTATCATTTGTTTTTTTTTTACGTTAAATATGAGTATATAATTTCAATATATAAGAATAAAAACGAAGGTATATAACAAGTAGTTTTGTTTATGATTAAGACAAAACTGACAAAACTAAGAGTATATAAAAATATAAAACATTTGTGCCATTATTAAAACCTGTATCGGAAATAAGCAATACTTTTAAAAACAACATATCAGGAATTATATATTTTTCAGGACTTCTTTGTAAACTACATTTGTCGTCCGAGTGCAAAATTCTCCATCCTTGGTACAAATAAGGATTTTAAGACCTTTCATGGATTTTACTTTTGAAAAAGCGACGTACAGTTGCTCATGAGTAAAAACTGGACGACGTAAAACAACCCGACTTTAGACAGAGACTGTCCTTGACTCTTGTTTATTAATTGTCATAGCAAAACATGCAACATTTGGAAATTGCCTCCTCTTCAGTTTAATTGGCATCCTCTCATCCTTGGGACTAATATCCATTCGGGGAATGAAACATTGTTTTCGCAATATTAGCTCCTGATATGATTGTCGCCTGAATAACCCGTTGTCCCAAATCATTGACTTGGAGCCTTTTACCATTACATAATCCTCCTGGTTGATCATGGTTTCGAAGAAACATGATTGAGACTCCGACTTCTAGGGTTATTTCGTGGTTTGGCATTCCCGAATATTTCATGGAGTTGAGGAATTCTGTCGCATAGACGGCATCATCATCCGGGTTTACTGACCTTGCGGCCATGTCTATGCAATCCAAACTATAATACACTGTTGCCTCGCCAACTAGGAGTGACAACATGTGATCATTAATAGCATCAACCTCATCGTTTGTAGGTGTCAAGATAGCCCTTTCATTGAAGAAATCTTTAACTTCCAAGTTGGACAAAATGTTGGGATAAATAGCATTGCATATGGAGGTTACAGGAGTACCAGTTTGTTCAATAAGGAGATCTGATGGCATATCAAGTTCTACTTCTCCGCTGTTACGACCACCTGCCTTTCCTTCGCCAATATCAAGTAACCAATCAGAAAATTCCTTTATCTCGTTATTTAAGCTGCAATCAACACCTTGCCTTAATCGCATGTTCTTTGTCAGCTTTAGTACCTTGCATTTTTTCCACAAAGGCGATGAATTTATAGATGTATCGACAATTTAAAATCTAGTATCTCTGGGTATAACCGGAAGTATTTGTCAAAAATCTCCACCCAACACAGTTACGATTCCGCGAAATGGTTTATTGAATGTTTTTGGGTGTCTAGGACGCATGACATTTTGCAAAGTCCTATCTAATGCCTCAAAACAGTGCTTGTGTATCATTGGCAATGAAAATTAGAGAGTTCTAGAAAAAAAAACTCGTGTTATGATCTTATGTAAAAAAGAAAACAAAAACAAAATAAAAACAAAATAATCAATGCAGGATCATATATTCTCAAGAAAATCCTTGAAAACCCCATTTGTTTTTTTTTTTGTTTTGAAACGAAAAAACCCTATTTGTTGTGAAAGTGCAGAATTTATGATCCTTGTTGCAAATAAGGATTTTAAGATTTTTAAAGGAATTCACTCTTGAAAGAGCGATGTATAAGTAGTCTTGCGTAAACACCAGACAACGCAAAAATAGGCCCACCTTAAATAAGGTTTAATTATGCATTAATTAAAATATTGTTTGATATTAAAAAAAGAGTAAACCTCAAAACAAGTCATCAACCTTTAATATATTTTCACTCTAGGTCATCAATTAAATTTATTTGTAACACAGGTTACCTTACTAAAGTTTTAATCCATTTCAGATCATTCTGTTAATTTTGGACATTAAATAGTGACGGAAATCCATTTTTCACATGCTTTTGGGTTCAGGGGTATTTTGTCATTTTATTATTTTATTTGTATTTTTTAATCTTTTTAAATTTTTTTTTTTACAATTCTTCTTCTTATACTTCCTAACTTGTATACACTGGTAGTATAATTCTAAATTTAAAAAATTTATTTTCCTTTTATATTTTAACTTCTAGATTATAAAATTTTTTTTTAAAAAAATTGAGAAATGAAGAAGAAAAATTCGAGTTAAAGTAAACATGAAAATAAATAATTTACCATTTTTTTTAAAAAATAAAAATTAAAATAATTAGCTAAGACAAGTTCTTTTTTCTAGATTATTTAATTTTTTTCAACTTGATTGAATTATTTAATTATTAATTTTCACGTTTCTTATTCATTTTTTTTTAATAATCTACAAGTTAATATACAAATAAAAAATTAATTTTCAAAAACGATTTTATTTTTCATTTGTATCTTAACTTCTAGATTACAAAAAAGGAATAAGAAACGTGAAAATTAATAATTAAATAATTCAATCGAGTTGAAAAAAATTAAATAACCTAGAAGAAATAACTTGTCAGCTAATCCTTTTAGTTTTTCTTTTTGTTTAAATAATTTTTAAAATTTTGAATTGTACTACCAATGTATACAAGTTAGGAAGTATAAGAAGAAGAATTGTAAAAAAAAAAAAATTTAAAGATTTAAAAAATTTAAAAAATAATAATAAAATGACAAAAATACCCCTGAACCCAAAAACATGTGAAAAATGGATTTCCGTCACTATTTAACGGCCAAAATTAACAGAATGATCTGAAATGGATTAAAACTTTAGTAAGGTAATCTGTGGTACAAATAAATTTAATTGATGATCTAGAGTGAAAATATATTAAAGATTGATGACTTGTTTTGAGGTTCACTCTTAAAAAAAACAAAAGTACTTAGTTAAATACAGTAAATCCATTATTTATGCTTATGACTGAATTTTACAATTGTAATATCACAATTAAGCATGTTAAACAAAACAAAAAACTATAAACTCACAGAAAGATCAAAGTGTAATTCCAAAAAAAATATACCATGAATAAAACCTCTAATTGGACCTCAACAATTTGGAAGGCAGGAGTCCAGGACTTGGACTCCAGGAGTATTAACTTTATGCATTAACTAAAATATTGTTAGATATTAAAAAAAACAAAATTAAAAAATTCTAAATCAAATCGATTTAAAAAAATAAACAAAACAAAGCTGCAAATAGAAAAAAAACTAATATTTGCTATATATAACATATATTACTTAATGTTAAATGCACCAAAAATCTCGGACAAATAAATAGATCCAAAAGAGATTAACCTATCGAAACAAATCAAGCTAAATTATGCCCAGATTCATTTCCATTTTTCAAACCCAAAAATTATAACTAAGAGTAGACATAAGATATAATTATGCATTAATGGAAATGTTGTTTGATTTAAATGAAATCAAAGTTAATGTTCCATGTTTTTGGTAGGTAAATCTATATTGATTTTAACTGCTATTT